AAACATGAAATGAAATAGTTTAAAACTACAAACGGCCAAGACTTTTATAAAAAATTATGCTTAAAAATTACAGTAGATTATGATTTTTGAGATCACAAATTAAAGCCAACACATGGAATACGAATTTTCTAAACTAAAAACAAATTAATGTATACAAATAAAAAGAAATTGAAAAGGGAAAAAGGAAAAAAAAAACTGAAATAAAAAAATAACATAATTTGTATTTGCCACGTAATTTAAAAATAAGTATAACACATGAAAACCCAATTTTCAAAAAGTAAAAACAAATTAATGTATACCAATAAAAATGAAAATGACAAAAACGTAAATTTTTTTTAAAAAAAGAACCACAAAAATAAGCCTGACCCACAAATTAGCATTTGCCACGTAATTTACAAATAGGTAAAACACATGAAAACCCATTTTTGACAAATAAAAATAGATGAACGAATAGAAATAAAAAAAAAATGACAAAACCATAAATTTAAAAAAAAAGAACCACAAAAATGTGCCTCATCCAAAAAAATAAAAATGAAAAATATAAAAACAGAAATTACCATTTGCCACGTAATTTACAAATAAATAAAACACATGAAACCTTATTTTTGAAAAATAAAAACAAATTATTATATACCAATAAAAATAAATAAGAAATAAACGTACATTAAAGAAAAAGAACAAATTAATGTATAGAAAAAGAAAAATGACAAAAACATAAATTAAAAGAAAAAAAATAACCATAGAGATACGCCTAATCCCAAAACAGCTCATAAAAAAAAATTAAAATAATAATAATAATAATAATTTTCCAATGAGGCTGACATGGAGCATTTGTTCAAGGAGTTTGACATTCTTCAAAAACACTTCAAGGGCATTTTGGGCATTTACCATGAACACATCTCACCAAAAAGTTAAAAAGTCAAAAAAGTCAAAAAATCCTTTCAAAACCAAGCTTTTTAACCCTAAATTAAAATAGTCAAAAAAATTAAAAAACCAAAAAGTCAACCCCACTTTCTAAACGAATGCTAAATAATCCTAAGATGTATGTATTATTTATCATTAACTCACTTTCAAAATTCATCACGTGCAAGGTTGCTGGGAGTAGTTGAATAACTTAATATGCATATATCATTTATTACCTATTATACATTCACTCACTTTCGTCACCTGAGGACATCTTTAATAGTATATTATTTTTTTAATTAAATTTAAATAAAAATTTAAGAAAAAAATTTTCTTTGATATTAAGTGTTTTAATGGAAGATTTTGCAGTTTCGTCACACCACCAATCGATTGAACAGATGTCCGGTCAATCGACCGACTAGTGCAAAATTTTCACAAATTTTCTTCTTGAGATGGTCATGGGGGTCGACCGGGCGAACGACTGAGAGGACGATCGGACGGTCGCCTGACCAATGTAATTTTTTTACAAACTTTTGTTGTGAGATGGTCATTCGGGAGGACATTCGAGAGAAAATCTGGTAGTGAAAATCTAATGGCAATGAACAATGATTTGATAAAAAACACATTGATCCTCAATTTGATAAAAGAAAAAGTGAAATTTTGGATTTTATATTGATTTGATGAAACCGTTGGAACTAAAAAATGAATCATTTTTCATTAAATTTAAATTTGATAATAAATTTTATGCACAGTTAGAGATGGTATAAGAGCGCACTTCTTTTATCTTTAGGTATTCACTATATGCATTTACTGAATAAGTCTAGGTGCATGGCATCTTATTTTGTGTTTGATCTATATATTCCTAGCCTTGCTCATATTTATTTATTGCATTTTCACACACACACACACACACAAAATAATAATAATAATAAATAAAGAATAAAAAAAAATTATGTGTAGAGATTTTCAAACATAATCTAATGACTATTGCCAAAATAATAAATAAATAAATAACATAATCTAATGACTAAAGTTTTGAGGAAAAAAAATGGAGATGAATCATCCATGCTTAAATGGATATTCGGCACTGAAAGCATCTTCAACCCACTAGGCATTCAATACTTGTTAGTTAAAATGCCTAATGTGACTCACTTTTTTCAACTTCAATGCACTAGGCATATGATTAGGCATTTGACTCAGCTCACATTCACTAGTTACATATAGCTAGCCTTTAAGACTAGACAAAATGTATTTAATCATTAGGATTATTTTCCTCCATCTTTGTTGTTGACGTGACATTCTATAAAGTTAATAGTATTTGGATGAATAGTTAAAATAAAGAGCATGGTTGAAGTAAAAACATAAACAGTTGACAGGCAAAATAAAATATATACTTTATAGTAATATTTAGATAGGTAAAATGCCTACTACCATTGGAGATGCTCAATTTATTTTTTTAGAAAGGTGAAGGATATTCATATTAATTAAGTTGGAAATTGTTGAAAATCATGGAATACACATGGTGTGGTTTAACTATGAAGGACACATAATGTATCCGCATATGGCTTAACCATGATGGATACATAGTGCATCCGCACATGGCCTAATCATAAAGGGCACATGATCTTGGAAACCATGAGGTATACATAGTCTTGCCATATATGCCTATATAAGGAAGGGTTTATGCTCAACATTGTGAATACACATCACAAAATAAACTAAGTTCTCTCTCTATTCATCTATCTTGAGGTTATCATTTTTAAAGTCTAAGAATTTGGAGTGTGGATAAAATATTGAAAAACTCTAATAGCTTCTCAATTGATGGAGGTTTTCCAAACAAGACTTGTAATTCAAATATCCAATCCAAACGCATCAAGTAATATGATTACTCATATTTTTTCCTTCAGAAATAATTATGAAAAATACATATTAATCTAACTGGTGTTGTATTAAGCATTTTTTTAATATAAGAAACATAATATTAGTAAGAGTAATGATTTATAACTCTAAATTTGGAGTTCTAACAGTGACTTTAATGACGAGGCATAGAGCAAAAAAAAAAATGACAAGACACATACATTATATCAAATCATTCATTAGTGAGGCCTACTACCACATAAGTAGAGCTCTACTTTTTGTACTCTTAAATATTTTTATATTAGTAATTGCGTAACATATTTTGTTTTTAAAGCATCATAAAAAAATTACAAAAGTGGGTGAGAAAGATAACAATAACGCTAATAATATAATAACATTCCCATTCCCCTCCAAAATTTATGTCATTTAAACTTAAATACAAAAAGAAAAGACTCACATTGTTGATTAAAAATTATTGATTGATTTGATAATTGATTAATAAAATAAATCATTTGTTATGAAATTTAAAACTTTAAAGGGTGAGTACATAAGGCAATTTATATTTTAAGCAAATCTCAAGAAATATATTTGTAACTTACCTTTTAAAAGATGTGAATTAGATTTATTATGAATGAAATTCACATCATCTCAATTTTAAATTAAAATCATAAATCCGAATTCTTAAAATTAAAAATTAAACTATAGGACATTTTGGCAAACTGATAAAAAGTCAATTTTGGCTTTTTAACTTTTTTGAGTCTCATCAGTTCTCTATTTTTTTTATACAAAAAAGTCAAAAAAATAATCAAAAAATCAACTTTTTACCAACTTCTCAGAACATCGCTATATAACATTTATAATTGCATGTGACATGATGTAAGGTCAGTACATAACGTGTAGAAAATTTTAGGGACGAGAAGATTCGAGTAACAACAGCTGGAGGCAATGCTTGAATATGATTTTTGACCAGAGCCAATATAGTTAAGAGAACAGAAGGAAGCTTCTTCATTAATATATAGGCAAGACTTTCTTATTTCTTCATACAATATATACAAGTGTGATGAAAAAATAATAATTATAAATAGAAAATCCTATATCAAAATTGCTGAGCAGAAAGATCTAGCTTCATAGTCATGATCCCATCATCATCCAGTCAATTTTCTAATTTGATAACTTTCATCAATGCCAACTCATTGCATGAGGAATAAAATATATATCTATCTTATTATAATAAAGAAAATCAATTGCTCAAGTCCAGCATAATTTTCAATATCAGAATTACTTAGATAAAAAAATAAATTCTTTCAAGGGAAAATTATTGGAAAGTCCCATTTGGGAGAGTGTTGATCTAAATGGTCCCCCGTTTTTTATAATGAACCATGAAGTCCTATTATGGGGGATTGTGTTTTTAATGTTGGGTGTTCGACAATTCCACACCCCAGCACGTTTCACGTTTACACCAAAACGAATTTTGTGGACATTTTTTGTGTGTGACTTTTGGCATTGTGTTCATGAATGTGAAACGAATTTTCTCTCGGCACATAAATTTGTATGAATTTAAATATCAAATCGTCAGATTTTCTGAACTCCTGCTAATTAATAAGTTGATTGTCTGCTTGAAACATAAGTTGATTGTCTGCTTCACATTCTGAAATGTGGAACGCATCTTCATGACGTTCAATTTTCAAACCCCCAAAGTGACGTGACGACGAATCGGAGATCCCCCCTTCCAAGTTGGGTGTGGTATTTCAGAATGTGAAGCGTCAAATGTGGGATACCAAAATATGAAATGTGCCTTCCAAACACTCTATTGTACGTTTTTTACTAACATGGCTGGCATGTAGGTACTACATTTCAGGTAACAACAATATTGTTACAAACAACAGCAAGATACATGAGTAAATGAGTCAATTCCTTTTCAATGGGACTTCCTTGTTCATTAAAATAAATTTAGGACTGATTGATTCACAAGTTCACTTTTTGAAATTCATGGGTCAATCAGCCCTTTTTCAATTATTTATAAAACTAAAAACCCATCAAACTGCTTTTATTTTTTTAATTTTTTTTTTTTTTTAAAAAGTTCATTGTCATGTTATTTTGACAAACAATTCTGTATAAAAAAATTTATAGAAGAATGAACACTTTCCATTATATCAATGTTCACAATAGTGCCACAATCGTATCGTACCCTTCCACAAGTTCACAGTAGTGCCACAAAGATCCATTAGAGACCAAAATTATGCACAGAAAATAAAATAATATAAAATAAACATCTAACTGAAGAAAAAATTGCAAAAGCCTTCAAACAGGCTTACTGATCACTTGTTTTTTTTCCCCTTTGTTTCCGCATGTACAGCTAAACAAGCATATACCTCGACAAAAAATTATCATTCCAATGCTATGTTAAGCCTCATGGACCAGTTGTACCTTACCATTTTCATGTCAATGCCACATTGATCGATTTTACATATTTGTGCTTGTTATTATTATTCTTACTTTTTCTTTTTTTGCCAGTGTGGGCGGGCGAGGGACTCAGCTTGTAAGTTTCCTTAGCCGCTTTTCTGCAAGATTGGCAAGCTTGTTCTGCGGTTCTAGGACAAGAGCATGCTTGAAATCTGCAGATACCAGGAGAAACAACATGTTGAAGTGTGGCGAAACAATAAATAAACAAAAACAAAAATGCATCCTGTGACAAAGGCTAAATCAACCTGGTGCAAGAGTTACTACTTGAACACAGCAAATTAAATCAACTGTGTCTACACATGTATATCGATATCCGAATCATGCATAAAAAGAAGGCATGCGACACTTGGCATCAAACAAAAGGATACATGTTCCTGTATGTAACATGTCAGACATGCCTAGTTCCCCTATGTTACATGGATAATTCAAGAGGTAACAAATTGTAGTCAGTATATTATGTCATTCACTTTTACTTCAGGGAACAAAAAATATTTGGGATCATATGGAAGATTTGGCAATTCCATGGTTCAGTTACAAAAGTCTGCTCAAAGTTTCCTAGGTTTCAAGGATATGTCAAAACCTGTGACTTTTAACTGCTTTAACATTACCATTTTGCTTTAACTTCAGATTGATCAATAAAAAAAGAAATAACCTAAACTTGCAGAGTTACACATACCTGATACACACACACTTGAACAATGACAGACAATACCAGGAAAAAAAGGCAAAAAAAGGAAAAAGAAGAAAGAAAAAAGAGATCTGAGCAAAAGACCATAAATAAAAACATTGTATGTAACTTGGATTCTCACCTTGAAGAGCCTCTTTATAAAAGAGAAGTGATTCTCTAGCTGTTCCTCGCCTCAGATATGCCTTCACATTCTGAAAAGGGAAAGGATAACTCCTTACAACATAATTAAGATAAAAGTTTTTATGCTTGTTCCTGTATGTAATTAACATAACAGTTTAGATGCTTGCCCCCAGACAGGAACGCATATATTCTATATTTTCTTGCTTGCCATAAAAAAATACAAAAAAACAAATCCTGCTCAAGAATACCAATCCGTCTAGGGCAATGTCTACATCCTGTACATAAACACCCAGCCTATACAGCAGAAGAGAACAATACAAATATGCATCACAACTTATATAAATGATTAAACGTCCATTATGATTCAGAAAATTTCAAAAGCATCGGAAATTTAAAGCAGTATAGAAAATTTATGATTGTTATGTTCAATCAGATTTTATTTGCAAACCCTCTAAAATACTACATTGGAAACAAGAAAGTGGTCACCTATTTTTTTTACAAGAATAAGAGGCAGAGGATGTTAAAAGTTGGAATTACAGTCAAGGAGCAACAAGGAAGAAGCTCGCTCTCTTGATCTAAAAATGAAATCCCTCAATAGATGAATGAACCAGATAATATGAAAATCTAGTTGCCTCTTCTCGGCAAAAATTAGTCAATAGTTAAAGATAACCTAGTTGGCTGTTAGTAGTATGGAGGCATTAGGATAATTTTTTAATGAAAGGGCAAAGTCGGCATATTAGTTTTTAAAAACTAATGACATCATCAAGTTCCATCCATACAAATGATTGAATAACAGAATGGAGCTATTGAATAATTCAAATATAACCCACGAAGGAGCACAGTGTAATATTTTGAAACTAATAAGGACAGTAGTATTTATCCTGATTGTCGGGAAAGATTATTGCAATTTATCCTTCATATATATATATACACACACTAGAAGGTATGCACACCCACATGGGTGTGTCTTGTATGCTGTTATTCTCTGGGCATCAAGACACCAAGTTGTGTGTTTTCATATATCATACTAGAAAAGTAAAAATAATTTAAAATTATAAGAGTTCGCCCCCCCAAACATACTTTTGCACCCCATAGTAATAATCCTGAATCTGTCCCTGCTAAAAGGTGTGCACACCCACATGGGTGTGCCTTGTATGTTGATATTCTCCAGGCTTCAAGACACCAAAGTTGAGTGTTTGCTTTATGGATAGTATAGAAATAGATGGATAGACAGATATACCAATCAACAAGAAAAAATCATTAAAAATGAGGGGGGGAAATCGAACAAGATTATAAAAGTCAACTATAAGAAAGGATATTCAATCAAAAGTGGCCTATTGCCCTATCTATTTGAGGGAGAAAAACCTATCATTTCAAGAAAAAGATAGACAGACATATAAACTAGTTTTTATTCAAATCACGACTCAACCCCTCACCCAGCCTACCCATCAATAAGATACGACAATCAAGAGCTAGCGTAATTCTACAAATGGAAATTTAACACTTCATTTGAGATGGAGATGGACAAAGCTGCTTATATATATATTATTTCTCAAGCAAGAGCATATGTTTTTCTATTTCTTTTCGAGTTTCAAACGTAGCATACTTATGGAATTTGAAAACTATTGAACATCATTAGCTAGTCCCCTACCTTTTTATCAAGTGATATTGCCTTACTGCAGTCCTCCACAGCTTCTCGAAAGCTGCAATAAATGAAATCAAGTGGTAAGGAAAGCCTTCAGATGCAGAGCAACAAAGTGATGAAGTTCAGCAGATAACAAAATAGATGACATATCATACCATCCTAATTCTAAATAAGCAGCAGCTCGGTTGCAATAATAAGTTGCATTCATCTCGTTCAACTTTATTGCTTCACTGTAGTAACTCACAGCCTTATTCCACTGTCGTCCCTTAAATGCAGCATTTCCCTAAAATGGGATTTGTCAATATTAAAGAATTTGCCACAGAATAACATACTTATTAAGTTAAATCTCATCTCAAGGTTTCAGTAAAAACTTTAAAAATGATTATTAAAAAAAAAGAAAGAACAGCCAATGGAACTGCAAGTGATTTTGTTACACATTTTTCAGTAACAGCCCAAATTTTTAGCTTTTTTCATTCCTTGATTTAGAAGGAGATAATTATTTTGCTTAAGATAATGTGCTTACATAAGATAATACATTAAGTTAAATTACATAAGCACAATTTTAAAAAATATATAGTAATAGCCCTTGCATAACTTAGTGTAAGAAGCTTAATACATTAAACAATGTAACTAGCACAATTATCATAAATACATAGAGGTAGCCCAGCACAACATAAGAAACTGAAAACATTAAGGTTTACCTTTAAAAGGCCATCGTAGTATATTTATTGTTTTAAATAAAATATAAACCTTAGTTGCACGAAGCGGGAGCGGGAGCGTGGAATCGTAGACATTTCAAGAATCATTAGTTGGGAGCGTTTGTATATATTTTAAATAATATATAAAAATATATTGTAAGATTATATTTTTTTATGGGACTATACATGTAATAAATAAATAAGAATTATAAAAAATTATATGTTAAAATATTCTAATTATATACTTCTATTAGAATTTTTTTAATTTATTCTAAAATATTTTTATTACTTTTTTATCTATTTATTCTAAAATATTTTTGTTAAAAATTATTTGTTTTATGTTATTTTCTTAAAAAAATAGCATAATAACATTAATTCAATAAATATAATATATAAATAAATACACATAAATTTATAAAGATAATATATAATATATAAATTAAAACAGATATATATATATAAGATAAATAAAAACATATATTTATAAAAACAAATATATATACATAATACGTATTATATTTTTAATCTGAGAAGAGAAGATCAGAGAGAGAGAGACGTCGCGCGAAGACTAGCGAAGACGAGAGAGAAGTCGTGATGGCCTGTGTGTGACTCGCGAAGACCAGCGAAGAGGGAGACGTCGCGATGACCAGCGAAGAGGAGAGAGAAGTCGTGATGGCCTGTGTGGAGAGAAGTTGCGATGGCCTGTGTGCGACTCGCGAATACCAGCGAAGAGGGAGACGTCGCGAAGACCAGCGAAGAGGAGAGAGAAGTCGCGATGGCCTGTGTGCGACTCGCGAAAACCAGCTAAGAGGAAGGGAGAAGTCTGCGATGGCCTATGTAGGTCTTGCGATGGCAAGCGATGGAGCTCCGACTAAGAAGAAGACAGATTCGTGATCATATTCGCGTTTCTTTTTCATCAAAATCGCGATTCTTCAACGAATTTCAGTCAGAAGCGTAGAATCGCGCTTCTGAGGAAGAATCGTGAGTAGCATGAACGATTCCTGCTACTAAGATATAAACTATAAGAATTAATAATTTTATTTAATTTATATGTAAAGTAATGGTTTATATATATGATAATTTAACACAATACTTACTAGAAATTATTTCCCAAAAATAGTTCTTTATACCGTGGATTGCACGGGTCAACTGCTAGTTCACAATTACAAAATGGGCTGGAAGAGAACAAACCTTTTCTTTCAACAGTTCAGAAGCATCCATGTTGCCATTCATATCTGGCAATGAAGGTGAATTGGAAACAAGGCTAACTTGCTTTTGAAGAGATGAGTACATATCCAATACAGTATCAAGAAGAAATTTATCAGCTCCATGGAATGCAATGAAAGAAACAGAGATTGGACAACCGTCATGATTGCCTAATGGAATGGTAACCTGGAATAATCAGTTGCCGATAAAATAAAATAAAAAAACGAAATAATCAGTCAGAATAATATGACCATAAAAGTGGCCAGGCTATTATAACAAATTAACAGAAAAACAAAAGAGCTAGGCCAAAGGAACCAAAACATATGAAAATGAAGACTAAGATATGAAATTACCTGACAGCAACCAGACATACTTGCTATGCTCAGTAGAGCAGATGCTCTGTCATGGAACTCAGCAGAGAGACCTTTCTTTGAGTTAAGTTTTAACGGAGGATCAGCAATTGTGGGCAATACTAATATTCCATCATCCTAGGACAACAAATAAAGACAAATGGAGCATAAGGTGCAACTAAGGCTCTGTTTGATTAGAAAGAAATAAATGATGAAAGGTGAAAATGATAAAAAGTGAAGTAAAAGAAAAGAAAAGGAAAAGAAAATATATTTTTTGTATGAAATTGATTAGGATGAAAATTTTACAAGAAAATATGAAATCTAATTATAAGTAACTACTTTTATAACAAATTTAAATTTTCTAGAAACTAGAAGCTTAGTTATCATGCTATTATGAGTTGTACAAGAAAATTAATTTTCTTGTGTAACTTTCACCACTTTCATGCCAAACAAACTAAGAATTTTTTTATTTTTTTCTGTTTCCTTCACTTTCTACCATTTTCATCCTAATCAAACTAAGCCTAAATGAATGGTTAAAGAAAAATCAACTGAATGAATAAAGTCACAATAAAAAAATGACCATTGGGTACTGCAAACACATAGTAAAAGAACTAATGTATCAAAGCGACCCTATCAAACATCATACACAAATTAGACCAATTTGGGATGTTCCTTGGACCATATACCAGGAATATAGTCCTCAATGAATCGAAATCACATTATTTATGGGAACTCCAGCTCATATTTTTTTGGTAACCCTTCTGGCCTTCTAAAGATAATAAATATTACATTCTTTCCATGCAACTTCACATTGGAATCACGTATTTCCAAGGGACTGGGCCAACTTTGGTTGAAATATAGGAGTGGCAGAAATAGCCAGATTCTTTATTTCTCTCCATGAGAATGAAATATGGCTCTCGATCAGTGCCACCCCTCCTCCAAGTTGAATGTCTTTTGCTTGATCTGAACAATTCACTGACGACCTCCTCTCCACTCTCCTAAGAAAAAGATTATTCAACACTTTCTGATACGGAAAACCAAAAGTTTCTCATGTTTCATATATTGTTATCGTTCCATCACTATTTTTTGGTTTTAACTTCATGTGTACATCATTTGGCTGCCCTAATAGTACGGCTTCTTGATGATTTAAGCCTTTTAAACAACAGGTATAGCACAAATCCAAATCTCTAAAAGTGACACAGCTTGGGCATTTGTCTTTCAGCTTGTGTTGTGTTTGCAAGCTTCCAATGAATTGTGACATTTAAGCCCTTAACATGGTAATGGCCATTGATCTACCCTTGTTAATTCTAGACTGACACTGATTTCTTGTTGCGGTTAACACTGGACCAATTTTTGGATTTTGTCGAGCTGTTTGATAAATGTGGATATGTTCAGGGTTTTCTTTTTGCTTTTCCTCTTTCGTGTACTGATACATTCTCTTAATACCGTCTTTTAATTAAATCTTACTTATCAAAATAAGACTAGATACCTGACCAGAAGAACGAGAGTTAAAGAGGCCTATCACTCTAGACAAACCATTCACCGCACCAAAATAAATGATGTCATTCCCAGCTTGAGAATGTACATCTTCTCTTCGCACATGCACATCATAATAATTTGGACGACTATACAACAGGAACACAAAGACATGTATCTGATACAAGACTTACAGTGTAAAAGTACAAGTTATATATAGTAATGACTACCAGCAATTAAAAGTTAGGGGTACCTTCAAGAGACTTTGGAGAGCCGATCTCATTTCAGTTCTGACTTTATATAAACTTTTAATGTTCTCATATGCAGTGCTAATTGCTGCACGAACGCGATCAGAGACATCAGGTCCTAATCTGGGTTTGGTTGATTTAACCCATTCTTCATGATTTGTTTTGAATTCGTATCTGAGAAGCAGTTGAATGCAGTATAAAGGTTGATCAGCATAAAATCAAGGCCTCAATTAAATGGCTGGATCACAATGCAACTCAATAACTGTTAAACACTAGGATTGAGACTATGAAGCGCAGCTAAATTTAAAATTTCACCCATGCATTGTAAGTTGACATTAACACTAGACAACTGAAAAAAAATTATCATCACCTGTATGTTAACATATTTGAAAGAGGTTCCGGCCAAGTGAGTCACGACAATTTCACTACCATACCATCATGTCTATAAGCATGAATACAAACAAGCAAATGACGAACAATACATGTCACAGAAAGCTATTGTACGCATTCAGTGGGCAACCAACTGCTCTAAAAAAAGTCACACAAACACTTGGAATCTTATACAAAGGAAGACAAAAACAGAATCTATTTGGTAGCATGCTCCATCACCACCAAGTTCCCTCCAATGAGCAGAAAGTATTTACTTACAGCATGCACCAGCTTGGATGCTAATCAAACATAATGAACGTCCTTGGTTCAAATTCCAAACTCAAGGGTTTGGTGAAAGTGAAAGGGATGTTAATTTATTGCATGATGGCCACAAGGGTGCTCAAAAAGGAAGAATAAGGAGGATGTCTTAGGCCACAGATTACTGCCCAAATAATAAAATGTAGTGCTAGTTTATCATGAGTCACTAACTAATTAATGATCCCTCAAAATGTGTACTCTAAAATTTATATTCCGCACCAAACTATTTATTTATTTATTTTATCGCTAACAAAAGAAAATAAAGTAATAAATAGTTAACAATAAATATGAAACTCCATAAAAACATGAATTCAACAAAGATAATCAAGAAAGTTATCAATGTCATGTGATCGTGCAAAACAGTGATCCACATACCGAATCAAATTATATAAAAGTGAAATTTTGCCCAAGTGCCACAGTGCAACAAAAAGGCAACCCTCAGAGCACTAATTCCCGCTCCAAGGGATATATAGCATTAGAACCAAACAAAGCACAATAGAACATTACTTCAAAACTTTCCGAAACTTACTACATTCCACCTCATGCCATCACCTGCATCTCCTCACACAATATATAACAACTCTAGAAGAGTTAAAATCTCCCCCATCCTGTAATACACACCTCAAAGACACATCAGAAACATCAAAATTCCTTCTAAATGGAAATAACCTACCACCCACACCTCCTTATCCATAGAAATCCAAACAAAGCCAATAACCTCACCTCTAATGCCTCCACCTCAAACCAGTCAGGTTGCTAAAACCTAACTCCCTCCCTTCCCCTTGACACTAATTTATGATTGAGAACTCAAGGGACGTGTAATCTTAATGATACATGAAAACCTTGTTGCACATAAACAGCTTGAGCGAGAAACTCAAAACTCAATCAACATAAGAACAACAATATGAATATAACATTTGTCGCACTATCACACATGTATATTGCATCCATTAAGTAAACTATTTCAGAAATCCCAAGTAACTGGCAAAAAGGCTTCACTGAGCAAAGTTCCATGAACACAATTATGATAGCAACATAACCTAAGCTTAGTTCATTTTGCTAGAGTGTCTCAAATACTAATACACTGTCATGGATAATGCAACTTGTGTTGTTCACTATCCTAAAAAATTCTGCTAACCTAAAACATGATAATCTCAATGGAAATTTGCCTAAACACAATAATTCTATAGGGTACCTAGAGGACAGAAATCCTTCGCATTATGATCATCACTTGATTAGACAAATTTTAATTTACACTGACAATGTTTCATTTTCTACAACCCATGGACTAAGGAATGGCGAGGTGGAGCTGTTGGCTAAGAGGGGCCTACATCCCTCAAGTGTGTTAGGGTCATAACTTCCCCCTTATTTTGGGTTTAAAAGTAGTTTTCATTTAGGGATTATAGTTTTTTTTTTCTCTATTTTGTTCCATGGTTGAGGATAGAAGTCTTGTCCATCTTTCTACATGAGCAATCATTTTCAACAAGATTTTTTTATTTTCAGTCAAACACCACATCTGTATAGCTAAAGATCAACATGGTTGAACACAACCATGAATCAAACCAAAAAATAAATTATATAAATTCAAATTCAAAATTTTATGATTAAAGACCATATGCAAGAAAAGAGTAAAATATAACATGAAGAGAGAGAGAGAGAGGAAAAAAAAAATTTGGTTTGGGGGGGGGGATGAGGCGCTGAAACCTGTCTATGCAATAAGGAATAGGGGAATACATGTAAAATTTGAACCACATAATCATATAAACCCCAATAACCTCCAAGATCCAACAAAAATTATACTTCCAGCCACAAAAGATGTTTTTACTGTGTGTGTGTCTGCAATCTGCATGTGTATCGATGGTACATCCATAAAATAAACAAATCATTTAATACCTTTGTAGTAGAAACATCACAGAAGACAGAGCTTTCAAAGTAGAAATTCCATTTTTCAGGTTTGTTGACTCTTCATGGAAACCTTTTAGGCTAGACACGTTTGAAGCAATATACTGACCAAAATTTATATGCTTTGGTGGCTGGTCTGCACAGTCAATGAAGCCAAAAGAGATGAGTTTCAACATCATTGTCACATTTTTGGCTAAAACACTATCACCACATTATGACACCCTCAAAATCTCGTAGCAAATTAAGACCTTCACATTGAATTATCAAAAAGAATGCAACTGAAAAATGAAATCATGACAGAGATACTGGAAAATCTGCAACTTACAGCCAGATAAATTTTCAGTCACACAGCTAACAACTTGTACAGTCTTCTGCTTGGGAACCTTAGAAAGCTGGAAGAGATCATCAGCTACAATAAAACGTCTTGTCCTTCTGGGTTCCACCTGGTTCAATTGAAGTAAAATGTGCCCAACACGATGTAAAATAGATGGATCACGGGCAAACCATCCTGAAAAATTATCATTGTTACATATAGCCTATCCTCAAGTACAGTACACAAATCTAAACATACAGACATATACTATTGGAAGCAGCAATACTATACCAAGTACACATAATGAACATGTTAACTCCCAAACAGCACAGAAAGAACAACCACATCATATACCCATCAACTACTTGAAGTGGCAATAGTTCAAGAAATGATTTTAATAAGTTAGCTCACTCAGTCAGTCCACACAAGTTAGAAAGGCAAGTTTCACAGTGATGAGATTCATTCGATGCATGAAGCTAAACACAAAATTCACATCACAACTTCATTGCATGGAGCTAAAACACAACTAAGCAGAAAAAAACATGTATTATAGTACAAAAGGTACTTGGAACTTCCATCTGCATGGCTGTTAATAAGAGTATGAAAATAAATGTTTTGCCACCATTAAATAGAAAATAAGACAGAGAATCTTTAATACATACCAACAGTGTCTAGACTTTGTGTATTTGGCAAAACCCCAAATGTAGATACAACTCCATGAGATGGTCGGAATCCAAGGATACCACAAAGTGATGCCGGTGTTCTCACGCATCCAATTGTATCAGTACCTAAAAAATTGTGAGTGTTTACTGATCAGAATGCATAATTCAGAACCAAGACTTAAAAAATAATAGCAATAAAGAAATGACAATTACATATGGGAAGAGGAATTGCTTCAATGGCTACCAGAAAAAGAAACAAAAAGGAAAGGTAGCAAATCCAAGGATCAATACATGGGTAGAGATGGACATCACCCTCATAACCAACACAGCATCCTGTGGACTGTTACCATAAGAAAGTGAAAAAACTACTCAAATCATTATTCTTGAAATCGAAATAATCATGCAGCTAACAATGTTATCACAATCAACAATGCTATAGAAGATTTCCACATGCATATTAAAGAGTAGCCACTGCAATGCTTGATAAGTGGTAACAACAGTCGATGTTCAGATTAGCTATAAAATGGGCAAATTCCAAGATTATCAAAAAATAAATTCATACTTAGGGTATTGAAGTATGATTAAAGGGTAGATTTCCTATGAGTCTTTATGGAAGTAACATATCATTTCCTGGAAGCAAAGAATCCAGTTTTGACATTGCTCGTCTCCAATGAGAAACAAAAGCCCCAAGGAACCAAATAGATTTATCCATCCTCCTTACCTCAAACTCCATTATCTCTTCTTTGTTTTTCCCTAATCAAGAAAGAAGCAGCTAAATTGCTGGCAAGACCTGAAACGTGATTTTTTCGTATGGGTTCTGTGTGAACTCTAGAAATTAAGAAGAAATTTAATATATTAAGCTAAATCCCAAATAAATTTAACAGCCAGATATTCTGGCTTGCTTTTGCAATACAGCTTTTTATATATTAAACAGCTGGGTGAACTGGCATGGCACAGCTAAGTGACGCCAATATACAATCAAACAATGACAAAAGGGAGCAACACACAGTAGGACCTCCAAAACATCAACAAAGCACCACAATTTTTGCATGTTAGTTGGAGCACACAGGTCATCGCATTGAACCCCATTTCAAAATCACATCAAAAAGTGCTGAACCAAAAAATCTAAAGCATAAATGGCATCAAATTCACAACAGAATCAGCAATTCCCTCATCCTATGCAAATATAAGCCCTTAATAGATGTCATCAAATCCATCCCCACGCTCAAGCACACAAACATAAATTCTCTACATCACCAACTACAAGAATAGGAGAAACCAAAAATAGTTGAGAAAGGAGTAGAACCAAAGAGCTACACAAGGAAGAAAATTGTAAACTAAATTTTGAAAAAGATTTGAACTATCGATACAAAGACAATTGTTTTAAAGATTTAATACTGTTAAATTCAGTTCAAAATTCAAGAAGATAAAGGGAAAAGGGGGGGGGGGGTTAACCAAGTAGAAAAAGGAAAATAAAAGCAAACGTGAAAGTTTAATCTCACTACGTGAATTAGATTGGCTATTATAACTTGCAAATATTCCAAATTTTATTATCTACTCCACCATGATGATAACAATCAAACAAAGTACATTAAAGTTATACCTACACAATGTTGTTCATGATTTTGGCATGGCTGAAAACTTCACCAAAAAAAAAAAAAATCCAACAATCTCTTTTGAAAATTAAAAAGAAAAAGAACAAGAAAAAAAAAATAAGATGTGATAGAAACAATGTCATTTGAAGCACTATATCTTTCAATCTCCACAAACACATGGACTGAAAAAACATACAACAGATCCATCCAATATTTAGGAAAGTAAAAGTACTAGGGAAAAGGAGAAGAAGATAAATGAGTACCAAATTCCCCATTACTAAAATTTAAAGAAACCATCACAAGAAACTGGAGTCAAAAAGTTCATTTAAGTATTCAACGATACAATATTCAAGTATCTAAAGCTTGAATAAAAAGAAAACATACCAATAGCGAAGTCGACAAGTTCAGATGCAACAGCCACAGCTGAACCACTAGACGATCCCCCGGGAATATGGGATGGCATTTGTGGGTTACTTGGGGTTCCATAATGCACATTCTCTCCAGTTATCCTGAAATGGCAACCAAACAAAAATTATCATGTACTTCAACTGGCCTATCTTTCCCATAGAGGAATTACAGAGTTACAAACTGAGAGAAAATCCCCACCCCAGCCTCCCCCTACAATCTTCTTTTCTTGGTGAACCAACAAAAAGGCAACAAAAAATGCAGTATTAGCAACTCCAACCATACTCTTCATTTTTCACTACTTAAAACATATAATTAAAAAAAAAAATAGTATATTCTTTATATTGCCTAATTCCTTTTTTTAATCTATGTACTTCCATGTTACTCTTTCTTTTACCTGTTTAACGAGCCTCCAAGGCTTTTCAAATGTAGCTACCTTGAAGAATTTTATTAAAAAAGATATTGTAATAGCCAGCTCATTGGAGGAACTAAAATATGATGAAACTAGCTAGGTCTTGTTAAAAGAGTTCCTTGGAGATGCTCTTAGAGCAGCTCCAACCATACTCTTCATTTTTTTCACTAGTTAAAATGTAAAAAAAGTACATTCTTTATTTTTCCTTATATGCTTTTTTATCCATGTACTCCGATGCTACTCTTTATTTTACCTATTTATACACAAACTATTTAAAGAGCCTCCCAAAGGCTCTTCAAATGTAGCTATCTTTGAAGAATTTTGTTAAAATAGCTATGGTAATAGCTAGCCTGTTGGAGTGATTAAAATGTGATAATGTTAGCTATAATAGCCAACAGGCCTCATTTAAAGAGAACCATTGAAGGCTCTTCAAACCCCAAGGAACACTCCCTCTTCTTTCTTTCCATCTCTAACCTTGACGTGACATGCCGTAAAACACTGTCAATCATAAATTAGTTTGGATAGAGAGCTAGATAGAGAATAGTGTGTGAATACTCACTATAGCGGCTAGCTAAAATAAACATTGTAATTTTTCTCTCTTTTTCTCTAACAAAAAATGAATACTACTGTTCGAGTTGCTCTAATTAGAAAGAAAGGCATACCCAAAAGCCAATTCATCCATGACGGTCTTGCCAACACAAGTAGCCCCATTCTTCAACAGAGCTGTCACCACCACCGCAGTCTTCCCGGAAGCCTCATGGGTCCTCTTCCAATCCGGGTTCCCAAACCCAGTCACATAGTCTTTCACATCAAAACTGCAATGGAAACAACACACCACAAACCCCAATAAAGCAACACCAATAGCTTTAACTATACGCATACAAATCTACACTATACAACCATACGCATATATTCAAATGAGAAACAAATTAGAGGGCTACAAACATGTCTTTAATCGCAAATGTTAGGCCATAGAGGGGTTGTCGAGCGGCGGGAGGCGGCGGCTGAGGAAAGGGGAGAAGCTCGAAGCGTTCGATGAAGGCGCCGAAGTCTTCTCTCTCTAACTTTGTCGCTCTTAGTCTCCGCCGCTGAGTCTCGGCGAGGATCAGAACTCCGGCGACGCCGACACCGATCACGATCCACACCTTGGGGTTTGAGACATGGATCTTGCCAAGACTGAATTGCTTCGACATGATCGAGCTGATTGATCAGAGAGGATGTTTAATTTAACTCGTTTGATGAGTTCTTGTGAAGAAAAAGGCTGGGCAAAGAATAGGGTTTTGTAAGGGTTTTACACAGTGAGAGACATAGAGGGGTAAGTTTTGGAGAGATAAAGAGAGAAGGGGCTAGAGAGAGATGTTTCGTGCTTCCCTCTTCAGCGGGAGAGAGAGCACCGGAAAATTTGCGCGTCGTTTCATATATTTATTTTTTAGAAAAAGCCAAAAAGCTTTTTATTTTTTTATTTATAAAAAACCACAAAATAAATGAAAATTTCTATTAACAATCTTTGTAGTTTGGAATTTGTGAATTGACTTTTTAATTGTGATACATTTAATTTTAAAATTAAATCTCATTTTAAATAAAAATAATTAAAGATATTATTGTTTCATTTCAATGACAAAAATCTCAATTTGATAAAATATAAGAGCATCTCCAACCCATTCTCCATATCTACAAATATGGAGGATCTTCTCCCAAAAACAATTCCAACCCATCCGATGAATTGATTCTCCAAATATAGAAGGAGGATGAAAAAATGGAGGAGACTTTAAAATACTATTCACTCTATATTTCTTAATAATATTCGAAATAACTTTTAATGTGTAAATTTAATTTTTATAAAATTGATATCAATAAAAAGTATGAAATCATACCTTTAAAATGAGTATAATATTAAATACGTTTTACAAAAATTTTAAAATTAAATATTTATTAATGAACAAAAATTACTTTTTTATTGGAGTTTGAATGAAGGAAATGAAGGTTTGTAGTTGGAGTTTGAATGAATAGTGACCTCCTCTATATTTATTTTTTGAATAAAAAATATTATTTTCATCCTCTTGAGAAGAGGATGTGGTTGGAGATGCTCTAATGGGTGGTTTTGGATGTTTTAAATAAGTGCACTTTTTGACTTTTTATGAAATATGGGTTGAGTTTGAAGTGATGTGATAGAGAAACGATGTGACTTAAATAAAATAATAGGACTTAAATAGGATAGTGACTTTTTAATTTTTTTAGTATATGTCAAACAAGGCCTAAACTAGTTTGACAAAAATAAATATGAAAAAATTTATTTTTGAATTTTTAAAAATTATTTCTACTCACCAAATATAAAATTATAAATCTTTTACATTTTTATTTTTTATTTTTTTACCAAATTAATTTTTAGTATGTGTTTTTTATGATAATTATGTAATAGATGATTGTTTTTGTTGATATTTTTTTATGATTATCATGTAATAGGTGATTGCATTTGTTGTTAATATATTTTTTTATGGTTATCATATAATTGATAGTTATTATTATTTTTTATGTATAATCAATTGGTTTAATATATGAAATGTTTTTAATTTTTAATTTTTTAATTTAATGGATTAGTTTAATAATTATATCAATATTGTCACCATGTTTGACTTTTGAAAAATAAAAATTAATTTAACGAAAATAAATATAAAAAAAAAATTATTTTAAAAAATTATTTCTACCCTCCCAAAAGATAAAGTTATATAAAAATTATGTGTTTTTTATTTTTTTCACCAATTTAATTTTTAGTTTTGTATAAAAAAATTAAAAATAAATTATGAAAACCAAACCAAACATAACTAAAAAAAATTCTAACATTATTTATTAAAAAAAAGGCTATTATATTTTAAATAATATATAAGTTAACCAACACAAAATAAGTTGTATGCTGATTTTGTCTTCCAAATGAAGTAACAATATCTTCAATTGTTTTTATTTGAAAAAGTATTTAAAATTTAGGGTCAAATGTATTATAATTGAAAGGTCATAAACCAAAGCGACATAAGTCGCAAATTATATGGACGGTTAGTGTAATTCGTCCTAAAATAAATTAGCAAAATGAAAATTTTAGTATATTATTCTACTAATATAAATTATGAGTTTTTAGTTTAAAATTCTGATATTATAATTTTATAAGATAAATAATATGAAACATTGTCATAGTAGTTAGGGGGTCTCCCAACGTTTTCACAAATAAATTTTCAGTTCTCCATAGAAAAATTTCAATTATTTACAAAGATATCGTCTTTGTAAATAATTGAAATTTTTCTATGGAGAACTGAAAATTTATTTGTGAAAACGTTGGGAGACCCCTAACTACTATGACAATGTTTCATATTATTTATATATAGAGGGAGGATGAAAAAATGGAGGAGATTCTAAAACACTATTCACTCTATATTTTTTAATAATATTCGAAATAACTTTTAATGTGTAAATTTAATTTTTATAAAATTGATATCAATAAAAAGTATGAAATCATACCTTTAAAATGAGTATAATATTAAATATGTTTTACAAAAAATTTAAAATTAAATATTTATTAATGAACAAAAATTACTTTTTTATTGGAGTTTGAATGAAGGAAATGAAGGTTTGTGGTTGGAGTTTGAATGAATAGTGACCTCCTCTATATTTACTTTTTGAATAAAAAATATTATTTTCATCCTCTTGATAAGAGGATGTGGTTGGAGATGCTCTAATGGGTGGTTTTGGATGTTTTAAATAAGTGCACTTTTTGACTTTTTATGAAATATGAGTTGAGTTTGAAGTGATGTGGTAGAGAAACGATGTGACTTAAATAAAATAATAGGACTTAAATAGGATAGTGACTTTTTAATTTTTTTAGTATATGCCAAACAAGGCCTAAACTAGTTTGACAAAAATAAATATGAAAAAATTTATTTTTGAATTTTTTAAAATTATTTCTACTCACCAAATATAAAATTATAAATCTTTTACATTTTTATTTTTTATTTTTTTACCAAATTAATTTTTAGTATGTGTTTTTGATGATAATTATGTAATAGGTGATTGTTTTTGTTGATATTTTTTTATGATTATTATGTAATAGGTGATTGCATTTGTTGTTAATATATTTTTTTATGGCTATCATATAATTGATAGTTATTATTATTTTTTATGTACAATCAATTGGTTTAATATATGAAATGTTTTTAGTTTCTTATTTTTTAATTTTATGGATTAGTTTAATAATTATATCAATATTGTCACCATGTTTGACTTTTGAAAAATAAAAATTAATTTAACGAAAATAAATATCAAAAAACAATTATTCTAAAAAAGTATTTCTACCCTCCCGAAAGATAAAGTTATATAAAAATTATGTGTTTTTTATTTTTTTCACCAATTTAATTTTTAGTTTTGTATAAAAAAATTAAAAATAAATTATGAAAACCAAACCAAACATAACTAAAAAAAAATCTAACATTATTTATTAAAAAAAAGGCTATTATATTTTAAATAATATATAAGTTAACCAATACAAAATAAGTTGTATGCTGATTTTGTCTTCTAAATGAAGTAACAATATCTTCAATTGTTTTTATTTGAAAAAGTATTTAAAATTTAGGGTCAAATGTATTACAATTGAAAGGTCATGAACCAAAGCGACATAAGTCACAAATTATATGGACGGTTAATATAATTTGTCCTAAAATAAATTAGCAAAATGAAAATTTGAGTATATTATTCTACTAATATAAATTATGAGTTTTTAGTTTAAAATTCTGATATTATAATTTTATAAGATAAATAATATGAAACATTGTCATAGTAGTTAGGGGTCTCCCAACGTTTTCACAAATAAATTTTCAGTTCTCCATAGAAAAATTTCAATTATTTACAAAGACGATATCTTTGTAAATAATTGAAATTTTTCTAGTAATATTATTGAGGGACGTTAACTAATAAGAAAAATATATTGGGCCTCTCCTACTATCCAAAGTTAGATATAGATGTTTCACAAATTTTTCTTATAAATTACATTTTCTTTCTCATTCTTTAATAACTTCAAAATTTTATTGGAGTTTTTTAACATATCAACTTGCACATTCGTATCGTTCAAGTATTAACATATCAACTTGCACATTCGTATCTTTCAAGTAACAACTTTGAGTAAAATTTTAGTTAAAATCTTTATATATAATTTAGAACACTCAAATTCTTATTATTTTTCTTAATCAATAAAATATGGGTGTTATTATGGTGTTGCACACTATATGCAACCCACACAAAAGGTGTATGTGGAAGGTGTAAACATAAAACAGGACAACAAACAGAACGGCGTAAGTGTAAGGTGTAAGTTACGCACTTAAGAAAAGTCCATAAAATATACTTAGATATGATAGTCATGTCGACCTAGTGCTCCATGTGCCATGAAAAAGATTTTCTTTGGGATAAGTCTACGTTAACTAGACTATAGGAGTTTTTGGAAACTTATCAGCTTTTTATTTATTTTGATTCATATATCACCTCTCATATAATTTATTCATAAAAATACAAAATAAATTAAAAAAATTAAAAAATAAACATTTTACCAATTTCTCAAAACACCCCTATGTTACATGCGTTGGTTGGTTGGAGCACGAGAGTTAGTATAGCGATTTGATATGCCTAATCAAGCTTGACAATGGATGGTGCCCTAAAGTGGTGGGGAAAAGGGGAGAGATCAAAAACTTATTTCAAAACAATGTAAAAAAATAAAAAAATAAAAAAAAATGATTAAAAATGTTTTGAAATCAATTGCGTTTTTTTTTTTTTAAATGTGAAAATAATATATGAAATAAGTTTTTATACTACATTTTAAAAAGTAAAAATAAAAAGTACAAAAAGCTTTAACAAACAAACCTCTAATTTGGCTTGGATCCCTACATGTAAGGAATGGAAAACTCACTATATATCTTACAAATGATAATGTTCTCAATTTTAAAAATAACTCATTGTTTTGAATGATGAACCACTATGTTCAGTTGAGTTTTTAGAATGGGTCTGGCTTTGGTCCAATCCACTATCGGATTGGACCGTATTGTTGGGCCCGTGAGGGCCTACCATGGGTCCCGTTTTGAAAATTTGAACCGTTAATATGTAGAACTCTTTGAATACTATACGTCTGTAAAGAATCACGTTCATCGGATATCGATAGTTATGTGATCAAATCAGTTTTGTATAAAAAAAATAGATGGTGAATAAATTAACAGTTGACAAAAAACTAATTTGATCACATAGCTATCGGTATCCGATCAACGTGATTTTTTATAAGCATATAGTAATCAAAGAGTTCTACATATTGAACGGTTCAGATTTTTAAAAAGGGACCCGTGGTGGATCCCCACGGACCCAACAGCACGGTCCAGTCCG